ATAACCCCAATATACTATGGCAGTTCCTCTTGTATTTTCCACTATCCCAATATCAATCAGTCAGGCAGCTTGCGAGGATGGTCATCATCAATAGGCGCAGGTTTAAACCATGTGTGCAAGAAGCAGCGAACCAGTGCCACGTGTAGAGCCAGGGCATTATTGACCACAATCGGTCCTGGTTCAGGAAGGCATCTCTCAAACAGCATCGGGACTTTCCCAGCTGTGGAAATCCTTTCTTTAGTAGTGTCCATTTCATTTTCCATTATCCCAATATAACCCCACTATACTATAGTAGTTTCCATTCTATTTTCCATTCCGCGCCAAGCATCAACAATTGATGGGTCAGACGTTCCGGTGGACGGTAGAGTTCGCAGCGAAATAAACCACATCAAAAGCGCCTTAGACCCAGGCCCCTAAAGGATCCAAAAAGTGGAACCCCCTAATAATCCCCTAGTTTCCCCAATGTAGTAATGGGTTCATATTGGGGGGGTTCCATTTTGTGGATCCTTTAGGGGGTCTGGGGAGGCACCGTGTCATGTAGCTCCCTAAGGACTCTGGTTTGGGCCTTCGAGACACTAGTATCTTGCACATGTGCCAGCCAAATGTTCGCCAGCGCATTGTCACATCGCATCCGTCTAACATGCCTGTCTCTCCTTTCTCTGGCATGGCCTACGCAGATGCTGCCTGGAGACAAAGGCATCCACGAACACCTGGCGAGAGAGAGAGAGAGACACGGAGAAACTAACATCCATCACCAGCCCCTCCCGCTGCGGCTTTTCACAGCTGACCGCCTGCAGCCCTGTTAAGATCCATTTGGCATGGCTTTAGGACAGTCCAAACATCAGAAGCAACTGTCTTACCAAAACGTGCTTCACCTCCATGCAACTTCTACCGGCTAGCTTGGAGCAAGGAGAGGCACCACCGTACGGCCCCATGGGTCGGCGTTCCACGGATGTGCCAGGCAGCTCAGCGGATCTGCAAGACAGGTTCGCGCGGAGGTAAATTCGTACCTCAGAACAGTCATGCACTTGTTTATCATGATATCGCTTGAATAGCTGACGTGTGAAGACACAGGCGATATCAGGTGATCTATACAAGGCACCACACATAGTGCACGGTTCCCAGCTGTAGCAGCGCGCCTGGCAGGAGGAAATCAATTCTTGACGCAGCCCTCCCATACGAACAAGGGCGCTGATGCGCCGGGCTGCGCTTCACCTGCCATGCCAGCACAGGCCTGCAGCAGCCAGTGGGAATGGCGGCCTGCAGGCTTCAATGGAAACTACTATAATGGAGAATCAAATGGAAAAGAAAATGGAAAATGAAATGGAAACTGGGATTATTATGGGGTATATTGGGGTGTATATTGGGATAATGGAAAATAGAATGGAAACTACTATAGTATATTGGAACCACGTCTGTACCAGAAGTAGAAACACGCTTTAATGCTTAGCAGCTGTGCATCTGCTAGTAGCACCAGCCGGACAATGAGATCCGAGATTCTGACAACAGGTGGATTTTCTCTCATGCAATCTGCATGTACAATGCAAAACTGAGATGAGTCACGAGGCTAGATTTACCTGGCAAAGCTTCTTGTTTCCCAAACACCAAAGTCCCTGTGCCCTCAGCCATTGCCATCCAGGTACCCGTCCACAAGATGCCGAAGCTCAGTGGAACCTGTTTTGGTTGTCATCGCGTCGCTGAGCAAGACTGCTTAGCCTGCTAAGTGTGCTGAGCGCTTGCATGCTCGCGTCCGTGCGGTGGAGATTCTGTGTGTCACCAGCTTGGGGTTGAGAAAGCACAAGTGCACCGATGTCTCGCGTCCTGCATACACCTGGAGAGGTCTTGGCAACACCCATAAAAAGGCTGCATGCAAATCAAAACCATACACGCGCAGTAGAGAGAGAGAGAGAGAGAGAGAGAGAGAGAGAGAGAAGCTAGCTCCACATACTACATGACGGAATCCAGGGCTCCTTCTTTGAATTCTCCGCATTCAGATTGCGCTTCTGGAAGCGTGTGAAACTCACATCGCAGCTGCAACTGGCACAGTTTATGACTCCTCCGTCGACTTACCCATTTCAGTGCGGGCAAATGTTCTAGTAAACGCTACCTTCATCCGCTACAACCATCTGATTCGAATTACATCAACGGAAAACAGTGTGACAAAACCACGTCGATCGCAGCCATGACTTGAACACATTCTGCCCTTAGGGCGATGTGGCGCATGCGGAACATCCTGTGTAAGTAAAAGATTTACAAGTGATAGCCTGAAGATGCTAGTATCATCTTCTATTCCATTCGCTTGGGGGTCCGACCTTCCAAATTTCACATGCCGTCTTCTGGGTCAGCCATTTCTGCATCCTGATCGCTCCGAACCTGGCGCAGATGGAAGCATCGCAAGCTGGCACTGGTTTCGCCGGCACTCCACGGGTACCGCGCGCTCTCGCTTGTTCTCAAGACCTAGACCCCCCAAAGGATCCCAAAAATGTAGCCCCCTAATAACCCCCTAGTTTCCCCAAATGTAATCGTTGGGGTCCTTTTGGGGGGTTCGATCTTTTGGATCCTTTAGCCCTACAAGCACTAAACTTTAAATAGTAGTTTCCATTTTCTTTTCCATTATCCCTATATAATCCTTATATAGCCCCTA